TTTTTTATGACTTTCTGGTTTTTTTTTTTTTTTTTTTTTAGGTCCGCATTCGTCCCGAAGGACCGAACGCATCCCCAAGGGGTCCCATATGTTCGGGCGTTCGGGTTCGGGCATTCGGCCCGTCCCGAACGTCGGTTACCCTATATATATATATAATATATATATATATATCGTCACATATATATTTTGGCCCGGGCGGGCAAGTCACCCTGGGCCACTCTGGTAGCCCAGGTTTTCAACAATTATAAACTTTTTAACCCTTTTAGTGATACCGCTTTTGTGAGGAGCTTAGTACTCTTGTTTAACCTTTAAGATTTTAAATTTTGTATTTTTGAGACTCTCCCACCATTTTGAATATGGAGGGGGGTCATGATGGTTCAGATGTGCGGGGGATACAATCCTTAGCTATATTGTTTATTATTCATTATTATTGTTTGTTTACTTTTATAAATTAAAAATATATAAGACGCTAGGCTGTTTTTTCGGGTACCCGGACACCCAACTTGTGCTCGAACACACGCCCAGGTGCCCGCCCATGCATGACTCTCGGAAAGGGTTCCGGGTGGCCGCCCCCCCTCCAAAAAAAAAAAAAAAACAATCAAAAAAATCCAGAAAAAATATATTGTGTAGAAATGCAATACAAACAACTTTTGGTTGAGTGTCACATCAGAATTCCTCACCGAATTTCAGATTTAAAAAAAAAAAAAAAATCACATAAAGACATCCCCCTTTAACCCCCTTAGCCCCTTTAAAAGAAATTTATATCCTCTTTCCCCCCCTTGACAACCAACTCTAAAAAAATAAAAACATCCCAGATTTGAGGTCCTTTAGGAGAGCGCAGAAAGGTAAGAAAAATAAAAATAGAACGTTCCTGGGCGTCAGCCCCCCCCGGGCATCCCAACGGTAATACCCCCCCGGGCGTCATGCCTAGGTGCCTACTTGGGCATGAAACTCTTTCTAAATAAGACGTCCGTTTTAAAATATATCAATAGAACAATAAGCCAATTCGTGTGATTCTACGAGTTTTGAGGTAACCTTATGATACATATATTTTATGCCATCACTTTTATCCAAATATGATATATTTATATTTTATTTATATTATCAATTATTATTTTATTTTTTACATTTCCCTTTCCCCAAAAACTCTTAGCATTTAAATGAGGTGCATATATTCTGTTCTGATTTTTAAAAGAGTAAAAATGCACATCCTCCTCCAAATATGAGGTTTATGGGATCAGTTCAAATGGTAATAAGCTAGGCTACCAGAGTGGCCCGGATCCACTTGCCCGGTCGAGCAAAAAAAATATAAAAAATTAATTTATTTATTTTATTTACTATTTTTTATTTTTTTTTTGTAAAAAATGTCGATGTGACCCTGAGACAAAAGTTGTTCAATTTATGTTCTTGCATAACATAGTTTTTTTTAATGTTTGATTTTTTTTTTTTTTGGGGGGGGGACCTTCCCTGGTTTTTGCACTGTCGGGCCGCTCCGGAAAATAGGGTGAACTGGGCGGTCCAACTGGTAGCCTAGGTAATAAGTTTTTTTTTCAAGTTAAAAAAATATTATTAAAAAAAAATAAACATTAAGATGATATGAATAAAGAGGGCCGCCTACCCCTGATGATGTCGGCATCTGGCGCCGGTCGAAATGCGTAGGGAACTGCCAGACGCGCCAACGTAAGGATTGGAAGCTCGGGTATTGACGATGATTCTGTCGAGCAGAAGGGTGATGGGACACTGGCGATGGTTGACCTTAAAGACTTATTTAACGATTTTTTGGGCGCCTCGTTTGGGCTGCATGCCTATGAAGAGTGTATATGTGTGTGTGTGTGTGCGTAATGCATGACGACGTGTGCAATCTTCCAGGCTTCGGCGACGCTTTGCGTTCGCTCTCCTATTCCATCGATATGAATAGTATGAATGCTCGTTGATAACAGTTTCGACAAAATTGCTTCCGATGATAATTTTGTCATATAGTAATGTTTCGACTCGGTATTGTTAGCAGTTGTAAACCATTTGGTCTAATATGTGAGTAAGATCATTTTGGTGGGAGACTTAATATCCTTGTTTGACCTTTGGATTCTCAAAATTTTTCCATCATTCTTAGTATGGATAGGATTCATGATGGTTTAGGTGAGTGGTGACTAAATTTCAAAATCGTTTTTTATTATTTATTTTTACTATTTTGCATTTGTTTTGAATTTGCAATATGCACGACTTTCGTTTGCAAAGATACCAATAAAAAAATAGTGGATTCGTGTGATGCTATTAGTTTGACACTAACCTCATAAAATATATATTTTGATTTTATTCAAACGGCATGAGTACACATTCTTCTCGACATGTTGTTCGTATCACGTCGTGAGAAAAAAATAAGTCACAACATTTTGTAAGTTTGTCAAAATTTTATGAGCCCCCCGCCCCCCCTCCCCATCTTAAGAGTATTCAAATAAAATGTATGTGTTCCGTTTCGATTTTCGGAAAGCAAAAAATGCACATCCTCTCCTAATATGATGCATATGCGTTTTATTCAAATGGTCTCAGATAATTGTTTTTCGTCAGTTAATAAAATTGTTGTAAAGAAAAAAAAACTTTGAGCATTTAAATAAGATGCATGTGTTTCGTTACGATTCTAACAGAGTAAAAGATATCATATTTTTATGAACGTTATATTTTTGAATACCCTTTTTTACCATGAACGAATGTTGTATATAAGTGAGGGAAAAACGGTTGGTTTGACGGACGACTCACCTTGTTTGAGTGAGGAGCAACAATGTGTTAGTGGTTGTTCGTCACAATGCAGTGAGTGTTTTTGTTAATGTTGAAAACCATGAAAAAAATAAAATAAAAAACCCAAAAAGTCTCTCTTCTCCGGGCAACCTTTTTTTTGTGGTTGTGTGGGCTGAAAAACAAATGGCAAAAAAAAAAGCGTGTCTCATACATGATAGTGCTCAAGCTCGTGCCCCGCGTGCGCACACGCGCGCCAGAGAGAGAGAGAGAGAGAGAGAGAGAGAGAGAGAGAGAGAGAGAGAGAGAGAGAGAGAGAGAGAGAGAGAGAGAGAGACACAAATAGAACAGATATATACGTTAAACCACCAGTACCTCGCTCAACTATCGGTCGCGGGCCTTCCCGTATACACGCCGAAGCCTTAGGGAGGTCGGCCAAGGGAAGGCCCGATCGCTTCTTCTTGGTCGGAGCCCGCCAAGTACGGGGTGTTACACTGTTACTCACACAAAGAAAAAAAATTAAAATTATAAACACAAGTAAAAAAACGAAATAAAACAAGATACCGTCGTTGCTTCCTGGCGCGCGGTAGGGGGGGGGGGGAGAAGAGAGAGAGAGAGAGAGAGAGAGAGAGAGAGAGAGAGAGAGAGGCGACGACTCTCTCTCTCTCTCTCCCCCCTACTGCTCTCTCTCTCTTCATGAAATTCTCTTTTTTTTCGAGAAATGTATCTTCCCGCTTTCGCGAAAAGATGAATTTCTCGAAAAGAGAAAGAGAGAGAGAGAGAGAGAGAGAGAGAGAGAGAGAGAGAGTACATGAAACGACGTGAATCTTCCCGCTTTCGTGGGAAGATTCGTTTCTCGAAAAGAGAGAGAGAGAGAGAGAGAGAGAGAGAGAGAGAGAGAGAGAGAGGGGGGGGCGGCGAGTTCGCCGCTACCTTCACGGAAGGTCGCGGCGAACTCGCCGCCCCCCTCTCTCTCTCTCTCTCTTCGAGAAAAGAAACGAGAATGCATGTTCCCGCGAAAGCGGGAAGATGCATTCCCGTTTCGTTTCTCGAAACGATAGAGGGAAGATGAACCATTCTTTTTTCTTATTTCTTCGTTTTTTTTTGTTTTTTTTTTGTTTTTTTTTTGCCCGTTTTTTCCGCTCTGTACTTTGCACGTTCGGGACGGCTGCGCCCGGTAGTCCGAGGCTCGGACTCGATAGCTGGGCCAGGTACTGGTGGTTTAAGCGAGTAGAGCACTGTAGGGTAAGCTGATTTCGGTTTGATCTCGTATAGTTTATACGCGAGGGTAGAGGGTAGAACACTGTAGGGTAAGCTGATATCGGTTTGAACTCGTATAGTTTCTGGACGGGGGTAGAGGGTAGCTGGTCCCGATTCCACTTGGTGTGGGCCGCTGTCCTGGGCCTTCCTGCGGAACGAAGAAAACTGAAGCTGGTCCTTGCTCTGGGGAGGGCGACCGCGATAGGAAGAGATTTTACTCCATTTATCGGTCCACAAGCGTCGTCACCTGGATTTGTGTCGCGTAGCTAATCCAGGATGACCGTATTCGAGTGTGGGCACGGGAGTGACTCCACTAGCCGTTGTGTTCTCGACCGTTGGGCGGGCCTTGGTTCTCCGCCGCCCGGTCCCTGCGGAGCCGTCCCTAGCCTCGCCTGGCCGGTGTCTATTGGGCTCCGCCTCATCTGAGAAAAGGAACCTGGCGTGCACCGTTCCAAGCCGTGGTATCCGTTGTGCGTGAATTTGTCCTTCGCACGCTCCCGGCGCCCTCGGGCAATCATCTCTCGGCATTTCGAAGACGGACAAACTCTGACGCCATACCCGAGGAGACCAGTGAACTCTGCGGACTGTGGAGACGGCAGACAGCCGGAGACCGGATTAGTAGAGAGGGCCTGGGGCAGATTATGTGTGTGATAGAGAGAGCGTATTAGGGTTCTTTCTTATTTTATTATCTTAACTGCGCTGAACTCTTACCGCAGAGAACGCAGAAAGTCGAAGCGAGGGGGAGCATATTCCGTCGGACATCAAAACACAAATAAGCCATACGTTTCGTTGCCGGCTTCCATCTCTCACACCCTCATGCTCACTCCCTCCCTCTCTCTCTCTGTCTCTCTGTCTCTGTGTCTCTCTCTCTCTACCTATCTATCTATCTATCTATCAAGCAATCTACCGTTCTGTGTTCTCGCGCTCGCTCTGCCGCCCCCTCCCCCACTCCCCCGTTTCTCTCTCTCTCTCTCTCTCTCTCTCTCTCTCTCTCTCTCTCTCTCTCTCTCTCTCTCTCTCTCTCTACATTTCTGGCGCGGGTTCCTTGATTCTGTTTTACACGCTTGCTCTACGGCTGTCATGGGTTGTTGCGACATCGTCAATCGGTCGGGAAGCTTGCAATGCACGAGTATCATGACCGGGGTCGGTTGTGTCCATCCGTGTCAATTGTAGATTTCAGCTTTGCTGTTCCTTTCTCTTTGATGCTGAACGGCGCCTTTTTTCGTTGCTGGTCTGCCTTCGTCCTCGCCCATTATACATTCTTTTCTTTCGGGAGTGGAGTGTCGGTGTGGACTGTATCCTGTATCTATCGTCATTGACTGAACTTACGACTGGTTGATCGACGAAGAAATAGTTTGGATCAATAAGCATATTTGTAGGAAGACAACCAGACAGGCAAATAGGTTGGTAGATAGGCAGATATATATCTACCTTGGTGGTAGGTAGTGGATACTTATCTTCATGCCAAAAAAGATAGATATATAGACAGTGTAGATAGATAGATAGATAGATAGATAGATAGATAGATACATGTATATATAGACGGATGGACAGTGTGGATAGATTGGCAGGTGGAGTGTCGATTTCTTGTGCGGGAAACTAGTATGCAACCAGCTCGAGGATCAACGTAGCATTCCATTCTGCTGCGAGCAGTGGTGTTGTTCGTCGACGTTGGAGCAGGTTTCTGTCAGTGAGGTTGTTCATTAGATTGAGTGGACAGGAAAACCGACATGGTTGGCGGTCGTCCTCTGCAGCGATCGCGGTCGCTGCGGGCATTCTCGCTGACGGAGGCGCTGTCTGAGAGACAGCGGATGGATCGGTCGCTCACGCTTCCGCCGAACTCGGCGACCCGTTCGTCGTCGCACATGGCTGGGCGTGCGCGGCACAAGCATAGCGCAGAGAATGCTCCACCGGAGACCCCCCCCAACGTGCGGGCGAACATGGTGAACACACAGATCCATGATGCGCCCAACTCCGCCCCATGCAAGTCGCACTCCGTGTCGGCACGTGGAGCGAATGGCCCGCCTGTCCAGCTAAACAATAATCATCAGAATTCGGCTTATCACCACCACACGAGTGCCTTCAATTCTTCGGAGCACGTGACGCATAAGGTGCCTTACAGCGCGCCTCCGGCGCATTGCCGGGGAACGGCGAGCACTGCGGTGCCGTCTAGTGCGCCGTCGGAGCACGTGAGGAGAAAGCTAGAGTGGGGAGAGGGAACTCCCGCAAAAGGTAGTTGTGACACACTGGCGATGGAGGATGATACAAGCTCTGGACTCGCGGCTGAAGATTCTGGAGTCAAGGTACGGGATTTCCTTGACCCTCATTCCCGCATCCCCATCCTCCCCACTTCTGTGCACGAGTGGAGTATCGTCAACACTGTCGCTCTAGGGAGAAGTTGGCCTCCTCCAGTTTCCCTGCTTCCATGCTTGCAAAGGTGATTGCCTAGCCTCAGCACTCGAGGCAATAACTGCGAAGACTTTTGCTTGTGCCTGCGTGGGCATCGGCGCGTCAGGCAGCCGCCACAGGCACAACACACACACAGAGAGAGAGAGAGAGAGAGAGAGAGAGAGAGAGAGAGAGAGAGAGAGAGAGAGAGAGAGAGAGNGAGAGAGAGAGAGAGAGAGAGAGAGAGAGAGAGAGAGAGAGAGAGAGAGAGAGGCGATCCCAATACGAGTGCACGTCGGCGAAGCGTATGGAAACAGATATTCAAAACAAAGAGATTGGAAAACAGGGTGATTGAGAACAAGGTTATTAAAAATGAAGATTAGAAACGAAGATTGGAAAAGTGGATTGGGAACGTAGATTGGAAATGAAAATTAGAAGCGGCAAAGAGAATGGAAACGAAGGTCGAAAGCGAAGTTTGCAAACAAAGATAGAAAGGCGAATGTGGAGGCCCCTGTTATGAATGCGCGCGAACATCGATTGCTGATCGGCAATTTGAGGGATGCGCTGGAGGCTGGTGCATTTGGCATAGCTCTAATTTGTGGATTGGTTCCGATGGCCGTACTTGTCATGAGATTGCATTAAGGCCGTGTCATATTGTTATGTTTACTTGGTTGTCGTGCAAGCAGGTAATTTTGCGAGTGAGGCCGATGAACAAGCGGGAGCTTCTAGGCGGGGCTGAACGGGTTGTTCTTCAGGAAAGCAAGTGCTCCTTATCAGTTAATAATGAGCAACTGTACACTTTCGATTACATCCTTGGTGAAGACTCCACTCAGGTAAGCAAGCATACTCCACAGCCCGCAACTGACGTCAGATCTCCGGTTGCGTCTTCCGTCGCTTTCCGCCTGCCGTCAATTTTCTCCTTCGCCAATTTTGTTCTCTTCTGGAGCGCGCTTATTCGTGGATCAGTGATTTTTTTTTCCCCAGTGATTTCTTTTCAAAGTAGTCGATTTGCCTTCATTGATGGGCGTCTTTGTGCTTTGGTTGCCTGATTGCAGACGCAGGTTTTCCAAGGAGTCGGAAAGGCGATTGTGAACACTTGCTTGACGGGGCTCAACAGCAGCATCTTCGCCTATGGACAGGTAACGTTCGATCTAACACGTGTGCTTCTTATCTGCGCTGATACGTTTAGAAGCACACACAGCATCTGAAGAATACGTGTATGTACCTAAACAAATGTGCCGATTAATGTATGGGTCTCAGCAAACGTATTTATCTGTAAGCCGAAGCATGTACACAAATACGTATGTATGTATCTCCTCCGGTCACGGACAGAGGCGTCTGACCTCGTGGCCCCCACTCTCGGGTGATTAATCGAAAGAACAGGTTGACCGTATTTTTATGTTTATGTCGAAGAAGTATGTGCGTACGCGCATGTGTATCTCCTGTCACGGACCTGCCTTTCACCTCATTCATGGGACCAGTTTGTTGATTGGTGCGCTTCGCTTCCGTTTGGAATGTTACTCGATTCATTTTCAATCGTCTCTGTTCGTGTGCACCATCGTGTTTTTTTCTTTTCTTTTTCCGAAGGTTTATTTTTTTCCCGAAGGTGTATACTACGTCGACCTTTTACGGGTATGTGCTCAGGTTATCGTACCCTTAGCTTTTTGCTGAAGCAAAAAATGAACAGATTTTGCTAAAACCAGAAACGAAAATGTTTTACTTATCCATTGTAAAACACTGTTTTTTTTCTTGTTCTCCCAAACAGACTGGTAGTGGGAAGACGTACACAATGATGGGGAAGACAACGCCTGATGCAGACACGGGATTGCCCAGCGAGCATCGCGGGCTGACTCCAAGAGTCTTCGAGCACATGTTCTCACGAATTCGAGAAGTACGTACAGTACCCTAACGTGTCGTCATGCTGTCATCTGCTCGTGATGTTCCAGGAAGTTCTGTTTGTTCTCTCTTTTGTTGTTTTGTTTGCTGGAAGCTTCTTTTCTTTTCTGTGGGGTAACGATTCCATGCATCCTTGTGCGCTCCTGTAACATCAGAGCCTGCCTTCGAATTTGAAATACCTGGATGGAATAAGGAAATCTTGAAGAAATGCTGAGCTGAGGTCGAGCTGCGACAGCTGGAAGAGCGGATCCTTTTTCTGTTAGATCGTTTGCTTATCCGCTTTCGAGTTGTTAGAGCAACTCGGGCCTTGCACTCGGCAACTCTGACCTTGCTTTTCACACCAGGAAAGAAAGTCCTTTTACGTTGATGAACTCTGAATTGTTGAAATGAGAAATTCTCTCCGTCTTTCCTCTCGAACTTCGCTCTCACACTTGTGTCTCTGAATCCTCCTCCTGTCAATGAAGTTTCTGTGATCTCTTCGTTGTTATCGACCCACAAATTACGTGTGTAGTTTGCGTGTTAATCGAGTCGGTATGGTCTGTTATCTCTTTCCTGTCAATGAAGCTTCTGTGATCTCTTCGATGTTATCGGCCCACAAATTACGTGTGTAGTTTGCGTGTTAATCGAGTCGGTACGGTCTGTTATCTCTTCGGTGTCATCAACCCGCAAACTAAGTGCGTAATTTGCGCGGTAGTCGATCTGGTATGATCGAGGCTGTGATCCTAACCATGGTCCATGGATTAAGGTCGTACGAACGGAAGTCGGATCGGATTATTGTTCGGACTACAAAATTGACCAACAACTTGGCAACGCGCGGAAAGGCACGACTATTACGCCTAGCATGGTTGAGAAAATTGGGGGCAAATCAGCGGGGCCATGGGTTAAAAAGCGGAATAATGGTTAAGAAGGCGGAGCCATGGTATGGAGAGTGCTTAGGCGGGAACGAAGACTATCAGAAATGGGGCAAATGGGTAAAAAAGCTCCAAAAACGGAACGATGGGTATATAAAAGCTCGAAAAGCGGAACGATGGTAAGGAGACGAGGAGGATGTCTTGACGGCAATTATAAACAAAGCGAGGGTGTGGCTAGGCGGAAGGGAAGACTCGCAATTCGCGTAAATAAGCGGGACCATGGGGGGAAAAAAAAAGCCCACCCATGGGTGTTAGTAAAGTAGAACCATGGTGAGGAGAGGAGGCTGCCTCGACGTCATCGTTGTATACACCCGAGCGTTAGAAAAAGAGAACCATCGTGTAGAGAACTATCGCATCCGTGAGTTTCAAGGGCCTCTTTCTCTTTGATTTCAATTACTTCATCTTCAGCTACGTAATTTATTGACCACATTCACCGCTGTTGATTGGTTCCCTGGATGGGCAGAGCGCATTTTGCCCTCAAATAAAAATCCTACGGGGAATGGAGGGCGATTGGTTCCCTGGATGGGAAGAGCGCATTTTGCCCTCAAATAAAAATCCTATGGGGAATGGAGGGCGATGAACGGTGTTTTGTGCGTTCGTAATATAAAAGGTATTCGCAGGATTGGTCCTTTTCCCTTAACATGTCTAATGTCCTTTTTTGTGACTTCAAAGCGTGCCACACACTCTCAGTTTGGCCTTATGTTATGAATTGTTCTTTTGTTGTTGACGTGATCGCGTGCAGGAAGAGGTCCGAAATAGTGACAAACAACTCAAGTACACTTGCAAATGCTCGTTTCTTGAGGTGGGTGACGTGTACAGTCGTTTGCTCCGCTTTCTCTCCTTCTTACTCTTCATTTCACCCCCTTTCCTGAGTGAGTATGCTTGTTTACCCCTTTGAAGGTTGTTAAAGAGTCTTTCCGGTCCATTTTACCACGTCGCGAAATTCTTTCTAATGCTGTCAAGTCATTGCTGCTGCTTGCATACAGATTTATAACGAGCAAATCACGGATCTGCTGGAGCCATCAATGCGGAATTTGCAGGTACGCGAGGTTCTCTGAGATACGGGCAAAATGAACTTGATCTCTTCTCATT